TGCGTAACCTAGATACGTCACGCGACTCATTTGAAACGAAAACGTTGGAACAAGTAAAATACAACGTTGCTATGGGCACTTCTAAATAATATGAAGTCAGTTTGCACGAAATAAGTGTAATTTTATAAATATTTAGGCAAGGTGTAGCCTTGTTATACTGCTCTTATATCATGCACTTCATTGTTTTGTTTTGTTTTAGTAGAGGTTTTACGGCGCTCGTAACTGCATAAGGTCAAATGAGCGCCAGAAGATAAGAGGTGTTACAAGAGAGTAGCAAACATAAACAAGAAGGAGGGGGAGAAAAGGACGATAGATGTTTGATAGGAAAGAAGGAGCAAACCACACCAGAGCACCCGCCAACCACCCACATATCATGCACAAATAGAGTCAAAAATGCCAATCATAAAAGGAAAAACAATACATTGTGTTAATACTGATGTTAAATCGAAACAAATTAAGGATGCATTGGAGGGCAGCAGATGTCGTCAAATGCCAAATGTACACGACTGTCATACTTAATCCTCACCGTTGAAGTTTTTTTTAATGGTCAAAGAAAAAGTCATGGTCGTGTCAGCCTCTTAGTTGGAGTTTTGGAACCGATATCTCCGAAAAGCAATGTCAGACATGACGCGTTGTTTTGACCCACGTACTGCGATCGAAAGGAAAAGGGATGTTCATCTTTTTATGACTTGCGCGACAATCTGATCAATAACAAAAAGGACTAGGAATATGATGAATGGCGGGGTCGCATGTCCACCGTCCTGTACTGACCACTAGTATTTATGAGACCAATCTCCCCACATGGGGTCCGGTACTGACGCCCATAAAAGCACGACATGGCGACAGAGCCGGATTCTACTTGTGACCTTCATCTGGACCTACTGAATAGGCCATAGACGTTGTGAGAAGGGATCGCGCAACTAATGCGTCAAATCGCTGAGCGCTTATGGCGTCAAAGCGTTACGTGCACTCATGGAGGGTTTACAAAGCATCAATTTAGCTGGCCGCTGTCTCAAATAGTCTCAAAGAAATGTAAGTGCTTTTAAGACTTTGAATCTGACTACTGTCAGGGTGCTTGTTTGTTGATCTATTACTGTTGGGATATTGGAGATAAGTTATATGTTTTATGATTCAACTGGGTAAATTTGGCTGCTTTTGCACCTACGCGCAAACATTATTTTCCCTATCAGGGGTACCACAAAAAAAAAGAAAAAGAAAAAGGTATCCACTTTCAGATGTGTCCTCAAGTGCTAAAGTCTTGACGATAATAACGAGGTAATAAATAATTGATGCTCGAACATGAATCCTTGTTGGGGGCCTTTTTTATCTTTGAGATTTTCTCAAAACGTGACACTTAGGTGCGTGCGGAATGAGGCTGTTGGCATGTACGTAAGAGTTGGCCTATGATATCCTAGGCTGATCACTGTCAAGTCTGCATTTCTTAGCTTTCTTCAAAAACTTTTCTTCCTACAAACCAAGAGTTTGCTTTCTACAAAAAACACAACAACTTTGCATCCTACAAACAAACAAAAATTGTTTCTAAGGGTGCACACAACGGGTGAACAAATGTGAGGCAGCGTGGTGGAATCAGGCTCTCGTCAAAATAAACAAAGTGAAGAAAATTGCATTTTTCGGCAGGTTTTTAAACTTTTATAAAATTTTGCTTTTTGGCTCAACACCTTTCA